GAGGAATGGGTTGTAGGGGTAAGAGAATTTTTTAAGTTGGGAACAATTACAATATATTAGTATTTGGATGGGAGTGATCCAAAACTGAGGGACACGTTGAAGATTTGTCAGAGAAAGGACAATTGCTTGAACGATATCCTTGAGGGAATGGGATCTAGCTGGAGGTTAGGCTCATGGATACTGATTATTCATCCTTAATAAAGGGGAAGGCAGAGGATATGGCCAAGGATACTGGTAAGTCAGTAGATGTGCTGGGAGTATGTGGGATGTCGGATTTGATTCTCTTTTCTTGCTAAAATATGAAGCAAGGCCATCAGCTGAGTGTGAGGATGGGAGAGTGTTGGAGATTTGATGGAGAAGATGCAAAACAGTTGTCTAGGATCTTACTACCCCAGACTGGCAGCATTTGTGTCACCTGGGAGCTTGTCAGAAATACAGCCTTTCAGCCCTTCCCCAGCTCTACTGGATCAGAATATTCCTTTTTACAATATGTCTGGTTGATCTGTATACTCATTCAAGTTCGAGAACTACTGGACTAGGTAACTGTAGTAATACTGCTTGTCAGTACCATGGACCCACTAGACTATTGGTCATTAATTTGGAGTGAGACCCCTTGGCATGGCCAGCTGGGCAGGTGGTGGTGAAGAGTAGACATAGATGGATTTAACCAGGGTTGGGGTTTTATCAGGTGATTTTGATAAAGGGAGAGCAGGGCAAGAGAATTGAGGATGTATGCAAGGGAATAATTGTAATGTTGGACCACAGAGAAGGAAGAAAGGTTAGGAAGGGTGTAGGGGATGGTGAAAAAGTGGTAGGATCCGTGCTTTGTAAATGCACTGAGATAGAAGAGTTGTTGATATTGGATTACAGAGGGAATGAGCTGGAATGACAGCTGATAGCTTTTGGAGAGTGAGATGCTTAAATTATGACATTGTTATACTGACATTGCACATTTTTCTCTGGATTCGTTCTGATTATGATTTTAAAGAAGCAAGTATTTTCTCCTCCCAAAT